CATTGCCAAAATAAGTGGTAAATTAGGACAGTAATCAAGTATTTTTACAAAAGTTGAAGAGCATTTTATTGCTACAAGAGAAGTTTCAAAACTGGTATTCCAAAAATCTTAGGTATGTCAGGATTTCCCACTTAAGTTTTCCCTACAAAGGTCTTGAATAATACAAGACTTTGGTTGTTGGGGTTTTTCTTCTTTTTTTAAAGTGCATGAATCTCAGTATTTTTATTGTATAATCATAAATCATCTTATCAATGTTGGTTTTACCTTTTGTATTTCATAAATCAGATATCAACTTATACAGAGAAATTTGAATCTGTGAGCACTAAGAAAAAACATGAAATTAGTTAAGGAATATTTGGATGTAACATGCTCTCAGTTCACAGGTACATAATTTGTTGATGTTAAAGGAAGCAGTATGTGGAAACTCAGAAGATGGTGTAAAATTCAAAGAAAAGCCTGTGTGTTATTTGTATGTAAATATCTTGTAAGTGTGATAATGCTGGGAATTACATTTCAATATTCTAATCTACACATTTAAACACTGTTTCAATTAGAGCTGAGTGAAATGGATTTGTAGTAGAGAAGTGTGCTACTTCTGTCAAGGAAAGTGCTTTTTGACACTGATCTAGATAAACTACATTTACCAAACTTTGGTACAGTGGGGAAAACATATATTTAAACATTGACATTTTTTTTTTTAAAGTCAGTAGTTTAGATAAACATAGTCCACAATTTGAAGTTTTAAGGAATCTAAATTCATGTGAAAGGCTTGCAAGAACATTAAATTGTGAAACAAGCTTTTAGGCTCATTTTTTGTTTGGGTTTTTTTTTTTTCCTACCAGCTGTATTCTGATCATGGAGTTCAAGCACCACATCACCAGCCTTATGCCCAGAATGCCATAGCCATGCCTGCACCTGTGAGTATCAAACTAAGATAGTTAAAGTAAGCACTGTATTCTTACTGTCCCCTTTCTTGAAGGGGGGACAGTAAGAGAAGAGGGACAGGGATGAAAAAATCTTTTATTAATGAATAAATAAATAAGGAAAATAAACATTGCAGAGAAACTGAGATTTTTCTTTACTTGAGGCTTTGTTATAGAGGATGTAAGTATTACTTATTTTGGAACTATTTGGGTAAACTTAAAATAACTAGTCATGTTTGTTTTTTTTTTTAACTTGAGTTACATTTTTTCATTTGTAGTTTTCTTTGTGTTTTGAGAGAAAACGGTGAACCTTGTTCAGTTCTTTGAAATTACAGTTACAAATCCTTATCGCTCTGTCTCTGGATCTTGAGAAGTTGAATTCATTACTTGCAGCCTTAGATAAGCACCTCATATTGTGGTGAGGTGGGTTTTGGAACACATGAAAAACTGTCCTGGTTGGCCACTTGTGGGTGTTTTTCTGTGAAGTTCTGATTTTGAATGGCCATTCGAAAATGTGATTCTTCCACATCACCTGACACAAGTTGTTGGCATTTTTTGGGTCCCAGTTTGCCTAAATTAATAAGGTTGTTAACACAACATATGAAATAATGTCTAAATTAGATTTAGCCTCGATTTGCCTGATAACAAAGGACTAAAGGTACCAGTAGTTTTACCTGATATTACAGTACTTAATCTTCTGTGAAAGATGCTTACTCAACTACAAATGACAGACTAAATATGAATGAATCAAAGCCACGTTATGGGTTTTTATATGTATTTTTTTCATTCATTTTACATTTCTTTTAAGAGAACAATCTTTTTTCCAGACTATTGTGTAACAATACCTACTAAATATTTCCAGTAGAGGGGGCTGTAACATTAAGTGTTGTCTTGGAATAAAATGCAAGTACTCCAATAAAAAAATAGAAGCTGAATATGAATTTGAGAATACTAATCCTGAGTGATTCATATTTTTAAGAAATACTTAAAAGGGAGTTAGTGTAACCCAGTAATCATAATACCGAGTTTATATTCCATTTTCTAACAGTATATGAAAATACTTTTTAAAAAAACGGCAATAGTAGTCTCAGAATCAAATACAAGTGCATGCTTACTGTATCAAATAGAGAAACAAGCTTTTTCACCTTGAAACTTGACTTTTATTATCTTTCCTAGGGCCAAGGCTATACGAACAAGATAGTGTGAAGTAAGTTACAAGGTAGATCTAGAGCACGATAGCTCTTCCTCTTCTACAGTAATTGCCACAATACTGTGCTTTACCTTATAGCAAAGGCAAAGTAGTTTACTCTGTGGTAAATAATAATGTGTGAATTCACAGTAGAATATGTGCATGCATGGTAAAACCATGTTTGGTTACTGTGGCATAGGAAATGAGCTGCAAATTCAGGCTCTTATTTATCTCCTGATACAATATTTTCTATGTTTATTCATAGCTTTAGAAGTGATTTCACACACAGCCAAAGCTGGTGTAACCCAGCAATTCATTCAGTTTTCCACACCACCCATTTCCTGTGCTGGTAGAGGTTTTTGTGAGGCAATATGGTAAGCCACGTCAGGGAACTGATGTAGTTAAAGATGAAACCCCACTCCTACCACCCAAAAGGAGTTAACTTAAACTTGGATCAGTTTGTCAAGCAACTGCACAAACTCTTGTACCTATAGAAGAAGTTTGGGATAGGATAGAGGAGATAAGACTTGTGTTAGCAGTGCAGACTTAAACTTTATGAAACTGAGCATGAAATTGCTAATCCTGTCCATTCTTTCACTGTATTTCTTGCTCATTCTTACCTGTTTTCTCAGAAGTCTTCTGTTACCCGTAAGTTAAACTCTGCTCTGTTCAGGTCTCAAGTAGATTCACAGATATAGTTAAGCCCTTCCAAAAACTTGCTGAATTCTGATAATTTTATTAATTACAAGATGATGCCAGATAGTTTTTGACATGTTTTAATTTTTATTTAGTTAGTTAGCTTCGCTAAGTAGTAACTAGTAGTTCTGGGATATAATTCTTCCTTTTCACATTTCACATACCCACTTAGTTTTGAATATATTCCATGTGTAATGAATATGATCAGCTTGTATTGTGTCTATTACTGTGGCTGAGCACTCAACAATGATTGGGGGGCGGGGAAGAGCAAATGTTGATAGCAGACTGCTCTGTATGAAGCAAGTGGTTGTGTCATTACCACCTGCTCCCCAGCTGCATAAAAATACTGCCTGCTGGCTGTAGTCTTGTTAAAATATCCCAAGGAATGTATCTGCTGCTTGAAAATTGCCAAGTAGTGGCCAAGTAAGAGAGAGCAGATGCCTAAAATAAGGACCTTGCCTTGAAGGTAATTTGCTAATTGCCTTCACTGGGTTAGGAATTGCATTAGGAATAAACATATGCTTTATACTAGGAGCTGTAAGTCATATAGTGAGAGTAGGATGGGTACAGCCTGTATCCAGATATTTTGGCAGTTGTAGACTTTTTATAGCTTTCAAATGCAGCTCAAAACAGAGCATGCATTGCAGTCATAACTTAATGAAGTCACAAGGGTGAGCAAACAAAACGGATTAAATCTTTATTGAAGAAGAAAATCACAAATTTCTAAGCCAGTGTTTCCATTGCTGCTGTTCTCTTTTATTTGAGCTTGGACATTTAGCTTCGGGGGGTGGGGAGGGGGAAGCAGTCTTAGGTTATCTGAACTCTTCACTCCTGTCCCCACAATAGACTAGTTTTAGCTGACAAAGTCTGACAATCCTCCTTAATCCAATTCTTGGAACTTAAAAGTGCTGTACACTGGATTGGAGTGCAGAGCTATAGTACTTCTTTTAAGCTTACCCTTTTCTTTAGAAGATGTTCTGGAAAGGCACAGAAGAGTACAAAGGTAGCAAGTATTTTTACATTTTTTTTTTTTCTGAAAACCCGATTAACTCTAACAACAAAACCTCTCAATGATAGAAATGTATCCTGGTTTTCGGATTTGTTTGCATATTTGGTTTTTGTCACTACTTTGTTCTCTATTACCCACAATCTTTTTTGATCACTTTAAAATTGAGTTTTCTACTTACTATAAGAAAATACTTTTCAGAAAGGTCAAAGAGTCTTTGCTTGAGCATTTCCAGTCTACAGTATATTTGCAGTAATTATATTGCCTCTAACTGAAAAGGCAGAGGAGGATCTTCCTATGTCAAAACAGAATTTAGGGTATTCATTCATAGTATAGTTCACGCATATATGCATTCAGATTGTAATCCTGTATGATGCTAATACCTTGGCCTTTTGGTAGTGAATGTTCTGAAAATTTAACTGAACTTAGAGCACTCCATTTTTCTCTGTTAAGAGTATTAAGCTAAAACTTGTGTTCCATGTGTGTATAATACACAAAAATATACATGTATTTATAAATGTTTGTATATATACACATGCATGTATATATACATAAATTGTGGGGTTTTTATAAGGGGAAGTCCTGGTGTGATCATTTTGGGAGAAGTATAGTAATTTTATACTAGTACTGTATGCTATTGTAAGATATTCCATCTGGAACAAAAAAATTAAACCTTACAACATACTTTCTGTATAGGTAAGTATTTTTTTCATTTATACATGCAGTGAAATTGAGAGAGACAATAAACCTTTTGTTTTAAGTTACTTTAGTCTCAGAAACATGAATCTAAATTTCTAGTTGTCATAATATATGATTAACAAGAGGCTTTTCACCAGCTGTAGCAAGGTCTATTGCCTGTAAAAGAGGTTTTTTAAACTCCACTAAAAATATTTGTTAATTTTACATTAACATAGAAGGGTGCAGATGGCATGCTTTTTCTCGCATTGTTTCTGTCTATGTTCTGTTTACAATCTCCTCTTTTTCTATTCTAACAGTTTGTTCTCATTCCAGTTTAGTGGGTTTTTTCTTCTGCTTTCTCTGATCTGTGTGTTCTCTCTCTCTCTCTTTACTTGACAGACACTATGGAGTATTCACTATTAAGCCATTTGGGCAGCTCTAGTCTACCTGTACTGATTTTCTTGTCCAGTCCTTCCCATGTGGCTGAGATTCATCATCAACATACCAGCTAGCAGCTGCCTGTTGTGAAACTTGGGGTCAGTTGTTTCATTGCAATGCTTGCTATTTACAAATTGGTAAATAATAAAACATACTCTAATAGAATTTAGCATAGTCTGCAATATTACTTATCTGCTTCCTGCATGTTTGTAAATTTCCTAATAATTCTTTTACATAAAGCAAAATTTATATAATCCATGTCATTCATTCCTGGGATAATCATGTATATATTAATTCCATCATCCTTTGCTTTCTAGTTGAACTTCCCAAGTTCTGTGTGTTTGGATTATTTTCCTTCAACTGGGAGGGAAATTTTCAGCACTTTAATGTATGATTTTTGTTTCTGAAACTGTTTTAATGCCTTCATTGACAACTCAAGTTTCTCCCCTTTGCTCCCTATTTTGTGTGATTTACAGTGGTTTGTATTCACGGGGTTATACTCTGGCAGGTGCTTAACCATGCTTTTTATTGTGTAAAAAGGTGCTGCTTTTAGTTGCTTACACTTTAAAAAATTAGTATTTTAATAAAATGAAGCTAAGGAAGAATACATGTTTTGCACTTGTTAAAAATTGTGTCCATTTCTTATTTGATAGCCTTTAAACAGCCCAGTGATTTGTAGCAGGGGCTTGCTGTTTGTTAAGGTGTGACTTCTTGTCTGTGTATGTGTCTGACTTATCCCCAGATGTGGCTTTTAAAAAATATTAGAAGTTTGCCAGTGTGAAACTGAGCATAGTTCTTTCCTGTTGGGACCAGCCAGTAGAGAGGAAAAAATGTGTTTGTGTCCTCCATATTCTAATAGGAGTCAAAACTAAAGAAAGAGTTGGAGAAATAGATTGGGACTGAAGTTCTGTAAGGCTGATTTAATGAAAGCTGAAGTGGGCAGGGAGACTGGCACTGGATGGCCATGGAACCTAGAGGTTTGGGAATGCAGTGCATGACATGATGTGGAGCTAATAGATGATGGAAAGAAACTGAAATCTTGAGATTAAAGTGGGTTGAATATCCTGATAGGGATGTAGGAACTACAGCTCGTTGTATTAGGAAATGGGCAGAGCCAGAAGGGAGGGTAAAAAGATGAGCAAGTTTAACAAAACAAAAAAAAAAAATTAGAGTGCTGAAAAGGCCTGAGCTAAGAAGATAAGGTTAGGAAACAAAGGTAGTTTGAGTCTGTCATATGGCATAGTAGGAATGGGAAGAAAGTACTCAGATTGGTTAAGTAAAGAGAATAAAACAGATGGGAGTTCCACAAATTGGAGACAGAGCAGCTGAGATACAAAGGGAGAGACGGTAAGAGAATTTGATCTTAGGAAGAATAAACAGAATAGTACAGGTATTCTAAAAACTGTTCTTCCCAGCACCTAAAATGGTAGCCCTGTTTTCTGGATCTTGCCATCCTTTTGTCAGCAGCTAGTGGCATCCAGTGACAAGTTACTTAATCACAGTCTATTGCCTATTTGTTAGTTTACAAATAGGATAGCTATCAGTTACTCATCTCAAGTTTTATAAATCTGAGTTTTAGCTACTGAAAAAATAATGCAAGCATTATTATAAATTCCCATAGTAATGCATTGCTTTAATCTACATTACAGAGAATGCAAAAATGAAAAGAATAGAATTGGTTAAATAGTTTTGCACTGTAACATATTATAAAAATAAATTGTCTCTATCCAATTAGAAAGAGGACACAATTGCTTTAATAACTTGACATTCTTTACTAAGGCCATATGATCAATGAACAAAACTTGATTTTTTTTTTTTTTTTAAAGTAAATTAATTCTGAACTCATTCTAAAATTCCATACTTGTAAATAGAGGAAGATATTTCTTGCCACTATTGACTTCACCTATGTACGTAATGGAAATCTGATTTTCCTTTTTGAACTAAGTCTGTCTAGCTGATGCAATATCAAAATGCACTGTAACTTCTCATTGAAACATTATTAATGTAGTAAGTGAGACACACTTTGAAATAGAGGAAACAACATAGCATTTTTCCCTCTCTTTAGGAATTAAGGTCGCATTCTGTGAGAAGAAATTTTTCACATCATTCGCCTGTGAGTCTGAAACCTCCATATACATGAAGTTCCCATTTTCGTCCTAGAAAAGATTACAGAATGGAAGATAAAATTCTTATACCACC